CTCCGGTGGGATGCACCTTGAGTCACCACCCTAAGCCATCCCTACCCTTGTACCATGTTGCTCCAGGAAGAGCAGTGGCCTTGAGGTCTGCATCTTTTAGGTGTACTCTAGTAAATGTCTTTCAGGTGGCTCATCCTCACATGGAACCTTCTTGGGGCTTAAGCTGGTAGACCAGTATCTGGCCCAATATGCCAGCTTTCAGTCTTGTGAACAGTGGCCTGTCACCTTACCTGCCGATGTGGATGCATCAGACCAAGAAACCACAGGAGTCAGCAGGGCCCTTCAGACTGACTTCTGGCCCCCAGATTTGAGACTTGCCAGGTTGCACTACACGAGCCCTTTCTTCCGAGTTCACCAGTTAGTTCTGTGAGTTGTTGCAGTGAATTAGAGCCCAATGAAGAGGAGGGATATCACTGCTGGTCTCACATGGGCCTTGGTTAAAAGCAGAGACCCAGATGCTTGTGTTTTACTAACTACGCAAAAGCATTAGACTGTGTGAATCCTAACCCTGGGTAACATGAGAAAAACAAAAATTCCAGTCATGGACCAAGAAGCAGTCATTTGAGCAGAAATAGTGCATAGTTTGGAATCGGGAACGGGGTGCATCAGGGTTGCATCTTTTCACCATGCTTATCACTATGCTGAGCAAAGAGTCCGAGAAGTTGGGCTACAGGAAAAGGAATGTTGCATCAAGACTGGAGGGAGGTGAACAATCTGGAGGAGAAAACAGCGGGACCGACAGTTCCAGAGGGACATGGGAGAGGGGAAGGTGGTGGGGGAAGGAAGTGGTGCTAACAAACCCAGGGACAAGGAAACAAGAAGTGATCCAAATAGGTGGTGAGGAGGGTGTAGGAGGCCTGGTAGGGTGTCATCAAGGTTAATGTAACCGAGAGTAATAACTGTAACCCAAATGAAGGCTGAGCATTATAGTGGGGCAAGAGGAAAGTAAAAGGAAATAGAGGAAAGAGCTAGGAGGCAAAGCACATTTATAGAGGTCTAAATAAAGGCATGTACATATGTAAATATATTTATATATGAGCATGAGGAAATAGATTTATGTGCATATATTTATAGGTTTGGTATTAAGGTAGGAGATGGACATTGGGCCTCCACTCAAGCACTCCCTCAATGCGAGAATACTTTGTTCTATTAAACTGGCATTCCATGATGCTCACATTCCCGACACAACTGCTGAAGACAAAACAGGTGCATAGGCAAATGTGGTTAAGAAAGCTGATGGAGCCTGGCTATCAAAAAATAGAGCGACTAGGGTCTTAAAGACTTGAAGGTAAACAAGCAGCCATCTAGCTCAGAAGCAACAAAACCCAACATGGAAGCACACCAGCCTGTGTGATCATGAGGTGTCAAAGGGATCAGTTATCAGGCATCAAAGAACAAAAAATCGTATTATTGTGTGCTCACCTCCCCGATATGATCACTGAAGACAAAGCGGGTGAATAAGCAAATGTGGTGAAGCTGATGTTTCCTGGCTATCAAAAGATATAGCATCTGGGGTCTTAAAGGCTTGAAGGTAAACAAGCGGCCATTTAGCTGAGAAGCAACAAAACCCACATGAAAGAAGCACACCAGCCTGTGTGATCACGAGGTGGCAAAGGGATGAGGTATCAAGCATCAAAGAACAAATAAAATCATTGTGAATGAGGGGGAGTATGGAGTGGGGGCGCAAAGCCCATCTGTAAGCAACTGGATATTTCCTTACAGAAGGGCCGTGGGGAGGAGATGAGCCAGTCAGGGTTCAGTGTAGCAAGTGTGGTCCAACTTTCCTCTAGTTCCTAAATGCTTCCTCCCCACCATCATGATCTCAATTCTATCTTACAAATCTGGCTAAACCAGAGAATGTACACTGGTAGAGATAGGAACTGGAAACAGGGAATCCAGGATGGATGATCGCTTTAGGACCAGTGCTGAGAGTGGTGATACCAGGAGAGTGGAGGGGTAGAGAGAGAACTGATTATAAGGATCTACATATAACCTCCTCCCTGGGGGACAGTTAGCAGAAAAAGTGGGTGAAGGGAGACGTTGGACAGTGTAAGATATCGACACAATAATACTTATAATTTACAAAACAATAATTTATAAATAATCATTTAAAATTTTATCATTATACTTTATAAATGAATTATAAATTCATGGAGGGGGGACGCGGGGAGGGAAAAATGAGCTGATGCCAAGGGCTTACATGGAGAGCAAATGTTTTGAGAATGATAAGGGTAACAAATGTACAAATGTGCTTTATACAATTGATGTATGTATGGATTGTGATGAGTTGTATGAGACCCCAATAAATTTAAAAAAGAAAAAGATGACAGCATATGTACAGATGTGTTTGACACAATGGATATATGTATGGCTTGTGATAAAAACTGTAAGAGCCCTCAATAAAGTTATTTTTTTTACGAAAAAAAGAGTTGTAGAAGCCCCCAATAATTTTTTTTAATCCTAAAAAAAAAAACTGGAGGAAGGCTCATTAATAAGCTATGATATGCAGATGGCACAGCCTTGCAGATGAAGACTGAAAACCAGAGCCTGGATTACAACTCAGGGTAAAGAAAACGAAAATCCTCACAGCTGGATCAATGCAATCAGGATAAACTGAGCGAAGATTGATGTCAGGGAACTTTACATGTGTCCCCCACCAATTTTCATAGAAACAGCAAATAAGCAAAGTACATATTGAATTGGGCCAATCTACACACGCCCTTTATAAAGTGTTTAAAGGGCAAAGATGTCACTTTGAGGACTTAACTCAAGCCAAGGCATCTCCAAAGGCCTCATATGCTTGTGAAAGCTGGACAATGAATAAGGCAAGAGTATGGCAATGGAAAGACCGTGGCAATGGAAGGACCGTGGCATTGGAAGGACCGTGGCATTGGAAGGACCGTGGCAATGGAAGGACCGTGGCATTGGAAGGACCGTGGCAATGGAAGGACCGTGGCA